CAGTGAGAGAGAGAGTCTTCTTCTTCCTCTTCTCAGTCCACCATCTTCTTCTCTCCCTCTCAACATCTGACTTCACTGCATCTGCAGACTGCGAGAGAAGAGAGACAGAGCTTGGTGACATTGGATCCAGACTCGACTTTTGGGGACTTCAGGCAAGGCAACGAGGGATTATTTGGGATTGGTGACCAAGACTTGGTGTTAACGACATTCCCATCACTCTCCCTCCTTTCGTCTGTTCCCTACCTCTTCGTCTGTGTATGCCTGAACCTGGCGCTTCTTCCTGTGTACAGCGCTAGGCTCCCTCACACTCGGTGATGGGTATGATGCATGTTTGGTCTGGGTTCAAACATGATTGGGCTCGTTATCAGTATTCTAGCATTCTGCTTTGCTACTCGTTACTACGTGAGTGAGGTCAGTCCGTGTCAGGTCAGTCCTTGTATCAAAGTCTTCCCTGCTCTATTCAGCACCTTTTGTATGTATGAGAATGCACATTGTCTGTCGAGATTCTACTCGCACTGCATTGTCCATTCTGTCCTTTTCATCACATTGCAGATCCTCGGTTATTACGTACATGGCATATCTGTTCATGTAACACAGCCTCCTGGATGCTGCTTGTGGCCTGGCTGGAAGCTTCCAGTAGCTTCCGGTTGGGCCTCAGTTCCTGTGCCCAGGCCCGAGACTACAGTTGAGGGCCTGGGCCCTTTACAGTTGGGCACGGCCTGAGTCTCCGGACTTGGGCCGTTTGCTGCATTTGCGCAGGCACCTGGGGTAGGTGCGTCGACAGTACTGCTTTTGCATAGGCCGGTGGCCACTTCATGATGTATCGGCCCTGCTTTGTGTGTATGTGCCCAGGCGCAACAACCAGGGCCTGGGCCAACTGTATGACGAAACTTAGTGAGGCTCACACGTCCACTCAACCTACTGGCGGGCTGCAACAGCCTGAATACCCGTATATGAAAATGCAGAATTTTTGCCTGTGATGAATATTTAGGCCCGGCTTCACTTAGGGCGGGCACTCAGCTTGCTGGGGGCCTCTGTATGTCTGATAGGGGCCCCGTGAGGACTCATTCCTCTCATGTGTGTGTTTTGGTTAAAAATAAAAAGACAAAATGTCAAAAACATAATATGAAAAGCAAAGTTGAAACAGGAAAGAAACCGAGTAGTATGGTTTTATTGACAAAAAAGGGGTAACACAGTCACCAATGTAGGACAAACAGTAATGGCTTGCGGAAAAAACAAAATTACATTATTTTCTTTTCCCAATTTGGCATCCAGAAGGTCAACATTGTTGACGAACAGTCAAAAAATTTGGGTTTCTTTGGTTATTTATTTCATTAATAATTCGTATTAACTACACAGTGAGTAATGTGTACTCACATTAATCGCTTCCCTCCGATAGACAAGTTCGGAGATGGCACGGTTGATGACATCGATCTGTGCTACGAACTGTATGATTGAGCCTTGGATTTCTGCCTCTGAGGGAAGAACTTGAGCAGTGGATTTGCCCAACGAAGGAGGTGGCAGAGAAGCAGAGGCAGCTTCTTCTCCTCCTTTATCCTCCACAATGGTTCCTTGACCAGATTCGACGGATTGAATACAGGCAACAGATTGAGATAACGCAGCTGACCCAGAAAACTTTGCAGATTGAACAGATTGACCAGATTGACGAAATTGAGCAGATTGAGCAGAATGAGCAGAATGAGCAGTGAGGTTGTTCCCTCGGACATCCCTGATGCTAATGTCGCCATGGCTCTTTCCATGACAAACCAAGTTTGACAAATTTGAATTCTGAGTATGGTTCAAGGTCATTTTTTCAGACTGTAGCTTCTGCAGGTTCTGTTCGTGTCCATTCAGGAGCTGCAGAGGTGGAAAAGAGTGGTTAGAGTGGTAACCATTGTCCTTCTTCCGTAATAGCTCTCCATCAGTGTTGACCTGTCCATGCAAGGTGGTTTCAGGTCCCCCTCCTTTTCTTCCTCCTACTCCGTTGTCTCCCACTTGTGCTCTGTTTGCTCTGACTTCTTTATCGCTTCCAGCTCCTCCTCCTCCTCTTTGTCTTCCTCCTCCCTGTCTTCCTTTATCACGTACTTCTCCTGTGTTTTCTCGAACTCCTTGACTATTGTCACCTTCATGTCTTTGTTGCTCACTTCCTCCTCCTCCTCCTCCTCGTCCCCATCCTCCTCCTTGTTTATCTTCTACTTCCCCTCTGTTGCTTTTTCCAACTCCTTTACCACTTCTGCCTCCTCGCCTTTGTCTCTCTCTTTCTCCGTCTCCTCCTCCTCTTTCTACCCCACCTTCCCCTCCCACTTCTCTTTGCACTCCTCTGTCCACCCCACCTACTGCTTTATGCTGGTCAATTTCTTGTCTTTGTCTCCATTCACCTCCTTCTCCACCACCTCCTCCTCCTTCCATATGTCCTTTCCATCCCGCTTCTGCTATTCCTCCTGCTCCCGTGCCATCCCCTGCTGCTGTGGGTGCTGACAGGATTGATTGTTGCTGATTAGCAATAGCGTCTGAGCTGGCACTGACATTTCGATCAACTTGTAGTGGAGGAGATGTTCCCACAAGCGTATCTGTGATTGTCGCCTTTGCGTCTGATCGTGGAGCAAATGGAGTCAGCAGCAGAGCGGAAGTTGATATTGACTTGGATGTGCTCGGTGCGAAGAGAACACGCTTGCTCACACTGAGTTGAGACGCCTGGACAGACTTGCCTTCGGCATCCGTTTCCATCCGGCTGAGTAAAGGGATGCTCAGAACCCCATGAGTCACTTCAAGGGTGATGTGCATCATGCTCGTCATGTTGGGCTTGGCGATGCTTGTATCAGTGGCACTGGCTGATGGTCTTTGACGAAAAGGGGTAATAAATTGGGAACGAGGGGGGATGGGGGGATAAGTATGAGTTGCCTTTTCTTCTTTAGCAGACTTGGATTAGAGTTTCATTCACACTTCTGGAAGAACAGAGCAGCTATCTACAAACAATAGCAAATCTACAAAGTTGTGCAAGCACAATGGTCACGAGGGTTTTATCAACTCATATGTACCAGACCTCATCTACAGCCACAACTCACTCTCCAACCAAGCTCAACATGAGTTCGCGGAGGGAAAATATGAAGATAACAGTTCAATACAAATGAGATACACCCCCGTTATCATGTGTTAAACCACCAGTACTAAGTGTTACTCACACTAGGAATTTGTCCATTCAGCCCGATATGCGGCGAACGAAACTGAGTTCCGAATAAGCAAACATAACACATACCGGCGGGTCACTCATGCGCCAAGTTGGAGAAGGCGAGAAAAGCCATGTGGCACTTTCTAATAAGTGCGGATGTTGTAACTACAGGGGCGGGCAATGGTGTGCAGAGGGCCTGAGTTCAAAAACAGCAAAACAAAATTACCGCTATTTTTGCTATTTTTCCTTAATATGCCAAGCTGCCGCTGCAACAAAGCTCCATTTAGTGTTTTTTTTTGCCTTTCCGGAACTCAAACCATGACTCAGGTATCATTGTTTCTTCTCCATTTCTCTGTGGACGAAGTTGCGGTCAGGTGCATCCAGGCGAGCCGGAAAACTGGTCATATACATCCAGGAAAGTCCTAGTGTGAGTTTTCCGCTAGAGGCTTCCCTTTGCCTAGGTCGATTCCCCCTTTTTGCACCAAGAAAAAAACAAACCAGTGCGTTTTCTTTTTCGCTGGTGCTGCCAGCCATGTGTCTCCAATAGGCTGTGTCCTGAAAGTTGTGGTGCATGCATCACCGTCTGGTGGCGTAAGGATTGTACATGCAGTCTGCTATTCAGAAATTTGAGGTCCTTTGTTATGTGCATGCCCTTTAAACCACCACTACCTCCGAGCCTGTTTTTGCCGAGGTGGAAAAGAACAGCGCGCCAAGCTTTGCCAAGCCATTTTGGTCCTCTGGCACCCGGCCTCCAAAGAATGCGGTATAAGTTATACCACGTTCATAGGTGGTGATTTAAACCACCAGTGCTTCCAAAGCACTTTTCTCCGGGGATGGAAACGCCCTGCATGCCCAAAAAAGACAAACCAGCGCTGGCCTCCTTTTGGCTGGTGCGGCCAGCCATTGTGCTCCGGAGGCTGAGCCCCGAAAATTGTGGCTGCAGCTGCATATTTGATTCTTTGGCTGGGAAACGTACTGGTGGCTAGGCTGCTAGAGTGGCCCGGGACCACTTGCCCAGCCGAGCCAAAAAAAAAGTAAAAATTGTGAGGATCTGGGTCCTCGGCAGGCCTAAGGGGCCCCTGTTGCATCTGCGCCCGCCCTAAGTGAAGGCGGGCCTAATAAATCACGAGAAGCCCTCGGCTGTCGATTTCGTATTTGGGGTCCAGGCAGTTTCGTCACGCCAGTTGGTTGAAGAAAACAAAGGCCGAGCAGCGAGGAAATTCCCCGGCCTTCTAGGCTTTTCCGAAAGCGCAGGCCCTGGGCGAGATTCGCAGCCTCATACACAGACAGTTGGGAGGGCCAAACCGAATGAGGCCCAGTAGCTGCACCAGAGGTGCACCATCCTGGGGCCTACCAGAAGCTTCTGGGCCCAGGCCCAGGCCAGCCAGTATGCGAAGGCAGGCAGGCTCTCTCCATATAGGAAAGAGCTCGCTGCCTGGGCCGGCATTCAGCACTTGCACGCTGGCGGCAGCGCTGCTGGAGCGGACGCTCGTGGGCTGCTGCTGGCGCTGAGAGGCAAGGTGCTAGCTCGTGCGGTCGTGCAGGGAGCAGGGTGCTGCTGACGGCAGCGCCATAGCCCAGCCTCCATAGCTGGTTGGGCTTGGACTACAGTGAGGCGCAGGGGTGGTCTTTGGGTGTACGGAGGGGAGACGTGGGAGTAAGTCAGGGGAGAGAGAGAAGGATGATGATGATGATGATGATGTGAGGGCACATACCTGGTATTGGCGATGGTCTGCATTGGGCGACTTCTTCAAGTACTTCGTGATCTGCTGACGTCAACAATTGCATTGCCAATTAGTAGGCAGACTGCAGCTGTGTAGGAAGTAGGCTGGGCGCCGAGCGCCAAGTGGGGAGATAGGGCCTGGACACTCATGTTGGTGGTGGCGAGAGCAAGCTCTCATTGACATTGGTTTTCAGTGTTACAATTCTTCATTGGTGTTATATTGGTGCATTTCTGCTTTCTGGACACTGTGATATTATCTGGCCTTCAATGTGATTGTGCATTCTGAACATTGTCATCTATCTCATTTTCCTTGCAATTTTGGTATCGGAGCTGGTTCGATCTGCGCTTCATTGGTTCTTCGCAATAGCTGTTTGGTGTTTCGCATGAGGTGTGGGGCAATGATAAGGCTTGGGCGTTCAACGATTGGCGGCCCAGGGTCGTGTGGGCGCGCCAGGAAGCTATGTGGTGACATTAGGGGTGTACGCTGGATGATGAGAGCCCGCTGATGTGGCATTTAAGCCGAGGTGGAACTGCATTCTGCTGTTGGTTGTGCCTAGGCAAAGACCGGTCATCATAAATGCACATCAGGTTGCCGGTGAGAAATCTGTGGTTGGGGGCAGCATTATGAGGTATGTTGCTCTCTTCTTTATGTACCCTCTTCATTGCTTCTTACAGTGAGGAAGTGAGTTCTGTCTTGAGAGTCCTCTCAATGTGAGGTGTCGCTCAACCTTGAGAGTCAACATTCTTCCTGGGCAGCAAGCTGGTGGGAGACGGGTGAAGCCTCTGAAGGGCCCTGGACGAAGCACTCGGGTCACGGTTACCATGCCAACCCGCTGGGACTAGTACACACATGCTTTGCCACAAGTCCTTGGTTCTGCTGCTGCGCAATAGAGGTCATGCAGGGCATGCCAACCCTTCGAACAGACGCTTACCAGACCGTCCTTAAATATTTCTGGCGGGGACTCGGTGTTGACTCTGGCTGTGATCGTCGTCCTGTCTGCGACGTTAAATAATTCCTGAGGACCTTGGGGGTTGTCCTTAAACTGCCTCTTGATCAGCCAGATCAAACCGGGTGTAAGGCTCGTTGCATGCGGGGACAAATAATGTGCATGTGCTGGCAGGTTCGGCGTAGACTTGGGGCACAGGGGTGGGCCGGATTGCACACCTTCAGACACGCTGCTCAACCAGATGCTTAGGACGTTGACACAAAGTGACTACTCAAGAGGGATACAGGGGGAGGGTTGGATTCCGATAACTGTTCGCTGAGACATTAATTTGACAAACTGCCATCCAGCATGCATCTCAACAGGTAGATTGTTTTTCTTTTGGATTATTTAGTTACTACGGACTTGACTGACAAGTAACATACAACTGCAGATAGTCTAGTTTTGTCCTATGCTGCATGCAAACTGTTTTAGAATAATCTAAAAATAGAAATAGTGTTACCTGTAGGATCTGACCCTAGTTATTGGTTATCGCTTGACTATTTTCTCCAGGCTGACCGAGAATCATTGATTAATCTTACTCGGTTGGGTGTCAGGCTAAGGTAGAATTCGGTGTGGATTCTAGTTTAGATCACACTCCACTGTAGCTCATGAGTGAAGTTCTTAGTTGTTAGTAGTGAGGAGTTAGTGGAAGATCTTAGGGTTACCCGCAGAACTGCTCTCAGTCGACCTTTGACCTTCCTAGAGATAGGTCTAGGAGAGGAAAGGAGGCGGCGGAGAGAAGCTAGGGAGAGGGCGACATTACGGAGGACAAGGGACGCCGAGGCCAGTGCCAGGGCTAGGGGCATGGCTAGCACAGGTGTGACCATGGCTACCTCCTCTAGCATGTCACATGCCTCTTCACAAGCCTCTTCGTCAGGAATCAGTTAGAGTACTCAAGGCTCCATAAGTCAGACTGTTGGCGTGCAAGTCAACCAGCAGCCCCCGCTCACTCCAGAGGATTATGAGATCCTCCAAACAGAAGCTCTTCATGATGAGTTGCAGCAGCAACTGAGAGAAGTAGAAGAGAGAAGAGAAAGGACTAGATTGAGAAAAGTCAGATTAGGCACTAGGTTGCTGGAGCTAAGAGGACTAGAAAAACTAGATGATGCTACGTTAAATCCTTGATCGGTTGCTGCGCAACTCACTACTTTGTGTGACAGAAACGCAGGTAGTTCAGCAGGAATTGTTGGATGAACTAGTGGCAGGCCAGAAACGAATTCTGGCTGCACTTCAAGGGCCTCGCCCAGTCATGAGGCAGCCCCAGTTCCTGTAGTTCCCCCTTCGGTTGCAGGTCCTTCAGTGACACCGTCGCCAGCAAACCTTCTCGCCTATGTATGGCATACTGCTCTCAGGCGGACAACCAGTAGTTAGTGGTCCGGTCCTTAGAGTTTCGACTGTACCATCCACGACGGTGGTAACTACAGTCCCATCATCAGGACAGACCCACGTGAGCGTGCAGCAACCTGTCTCGGTGACTATGCAGCCACTGCAACAATCACCTGGGCAGATCCAGCCTATGCAGTGGATGCCCAAGATACCCTTGCTGAGTCCTAAGCCCTTCTCTGGCGACAGGAAGAAGGATGAGGACTTGGATACCTGGGTGAGGACTGTGCCTACCTTTGTGAGGCACAAGCTCACCAGGCCAGAGCAGGAAGTCATAGTTGTTGCTTCCTTTTTAGAGGGATCGGTAGCTCGTTGGTTGAATGGATTAGTACAGCAACAGGGCTACGGTCAAAATTTCGATGCCTGGGCTCAGGCCCAGACATTGGAAGACTTCGTACGGTCTGTATATAATAGGTGGCATGACCCTCAAGGGGAACGAAAGGCCACCAACGTGATTAACAATCTTTGTGTCAAAAGGTACAAGAATGTTCGTGAGATCATAGACATCGTAGAACATCTGCTCGTGGTACCTGGTGTGCGCTACGACCAGCAGGTACTCCTCACGGATTACTTGAGAT